GAGAAAAAAGGAAAGAGCCAGAAATTCAAGAGAACTCAGAGTAAAATGGTACAGAAACAAATTCTAAGAGAGAGAAGGAATGAGTTTCAAAGTTAGAAAAGCCAAAATAACTGCAGGTGAGTTTAAGTGAAACATGTTTTATTCAGGATTCTATCATGTGTCTAATGCCTTAGAAACCAAACAAGTAATAGCCATTCTTAAGATTGCTGACCCTTACTCCTTTCCAATCCTGAGGTTTCTGTTAGCTTTTAAAGTCAGAAAAGAAAGAAAAAATAGCACAGGGTACAGAGGGATTTTGTCTAACAGAACAGCCAACATCATACTGCACATCTTAGAGCTCGGCTTCTGATCAACTAAGAGAGCCACAGCTAAATCATAATCCTGGTAACCTGATTCCATCAAAAATGTAGCTTCTAAAACTCCTAAGTAAGGATGTAGGGTATTTCCAGGAAATATTTCCTGGAAATCTAAAGTTTAATAAACATTTTTATCCAGTAGTCATGCTATTTGAAAAGATCTTTTGCAACTTCACAACAGGAAATGATACACACTCATGCCTATCTCCATATCTTCTTGCCAAAACACCTACTGAGAAACCTCCATTCATACCCACAGTCTAAAACAATAGCAAAACCACATAATTCACTGCTACTGAATCCATAGGCTCTTTAAAGCAAACTGAGTAGAACAGCCTATAGATCATAAAGCAATATTCCTTATTCCGAAAAAAAAGGTACTTTTCAATAATACAAGCAATCTGTCAACCAAAAACTTAGCTCATATCTACATAAGTAAGCCAAAAATTAAGGATGTGTAACATATATATTCTGCAAAAATACATGTATTCTTCAAGAAGGTTTTCTTCCTGAAGTAGGGAAGAAGGAGGGGGGGAGAGAGACATGAGCAAAACAACAACAAAAAGCAATTATTATGCATTCAAGGTCTATCTGTATGTTCTAATGAACACCTGCCACGTGTCAGCCATACCTCCTCCAGCTCTCACTTGCACTATCCAAAATTAGGAAGTTGAAATGCAAGCCATACTTTTTATTGTTTCTCCTCTTCCACTGCAGTTAGATGTGGAAGGTATCTCAGGAAACAGGAGGGGTTGAATTCTGTAGGAAAACTAACTGATCAAAGAACAGCAAAAGTAGATATAATTTGTAGCCAGAAGGTTTTAATATAAAATAAGCAGGTTTTGATGGCTCTTTACCTCCTTAACTACTTGTCCCCACAACAAAAAGTGCTATAAATATTTGCTCATATAGCCTGTATGCAGAAAAGCTTCTGGCACAAATTTCTTAAGACTGTTCTCCTTAAGAGCCTCAGGCCAGAGCCCTCTGAGAAGACAGAGCTCACAAGTCAAAATAAAACCAAAAAGTAAGGATGAAGACCAGAAAGAAATAGGAAGAACAAAGAATTTCTAATAACTTCTTACCTGTTCATTCTACCTTTTTAAACTTGTCCTGATTTAGCCTCTAATGCCTATTTGCCATAAGCCACTGATTTGTCTACTGTAATAAAATATTCCTACTCTCTCTAGGCAATTCTAATTTAGATAGACACCTCCTGACATAGTGCTATTTTTTCTTCTATGACCCAGATGAAACCTTTTGACAGTCCTTGGAATCCTCAATTCCTCCTTCTAAATTCCTACTCTGTGGCCCTAGAGTTATGACAGAGGAGACAAAATGTGAATGGTATTATGGAAATAGGTGAGCTGCAGTAAGGAATTCCAGCAATTGGGCTCCCCTCCACCCACATCAAGCTATTTTTCTTTCTTCCCTACAGTATTTAAAAAGTAAAATAGAGAGCAAGAGGCTGATATGCAGATGAGAGGCTACAGCAAAGAGCCACTCCAGCTTTTTAGGAATACTCGTATCTTTTCACTGGTTGTAGGTACTTAAGTCTGGAAAATATCTTTGGAATATGTCATGTGTAAGAATGCATAAAAGATAACACCTTGCAAAAGTCAAACATACAGATTTAATAATGTGCAACTAATGAAGATGGTTTATAAATGAAATACCACCTACACATTTAGTTCCCTAAATATATTATGCTATTAATCATTAAAGTTAGATCTATAAGTACAAGTTTTCCATACGTGGAAAAGTCAATCTGTTTTTAAATTAAAGAGAAATTATCACTCTAATTCTTAAAAATAAAACTATCAGGGTATAATTCAAGTGTAGCTGCTCATAGTAACTGAATAAACTTAAATTTGATAAAACATTTAAGGTTCAACCAATGCACCTTTGTTGAAGCACATTTAGCTGAAATAACTTTGAGTCTGGTTTATTTCCATCACATATAGTACATTTTTCCAACAAGAGCATGTACATTCAATATAGAACATTTCCAGCAACAGTTACAGTCTTTCTAGTTTCCTTTCACAGTATATTTTAGTGCAAAGCACTGGGAAGGGTAAATGTTTTTCTAGCTATAGAAGCATTTTATTATGACCTTGTGGATCTTCAACATTTTAAAATTTTATACAAAAAGTATATAGATGGACAGGGTCCCTCCTAAGTACAGGTGTGAACCTATATAAAAACATGGTATATTCTCTGCTGTACCTTTTAAAATTATAATCTGACAAAAATTACTAAAAAATAAAATATTTCCTAAAAATTACAAAATATTGATACACAAAAACCTGCCCAATATTTCATAAAGATAGATGTACTTGTTTTTCCTAAAATCTTGATTACAAAAATGGACAAGAATTCATTATTTTCCAAATTTTACAGTAAGAATCAAATATCATCTAAAGTAGTCATTTAAGATTTTACTTGGGAGAAAATTCAGGGTTTATACTCCCATCATCCTTTTTTAGCAATATTTAAAGAAATAAACTAATATCATAAGAAGTGGTTGTGCATGGATTGTCTGCATCCATAAAATATCAGTAAGCTATTTACTACCTTCATATTAACATTAGTAAATGTGTGGTCTTTAAAAAAAAAGAAGAAACTGAAAAATTAAGTTGCATCTATTATTAAAGTGCTTTGTATAAAATGTAAAGAAAAGGGGGGAATGTTTAATTTTCATAAAAACCTCAGATGTTTACAAATAAAAAATATATGATCCATGGATGAAAATGAACTGGAACTTTCCTGTATTATATATTTTAGAATGAAACGTTCAAACATTTAAGTGCTAGAGAACAAGTTAGAAATAAATGAACGTAGAATTATTACAAATATTTAATAGACTAAATATTTATAATTTGTTGATACTAATTTCTCTTTTGGTCCTAACATATACTCACTAGGAAATATATCTGTACAATCCAGATAAAATTTTGCCACATAAAGTGAAACAAAACTAAAATCACTAAGATATAGTCCTTTGTCAATTAAAAATCACCAGTGGTGATATATATTCTTCAAGTTGTTGATCACTTTAATCAACAAATTGTTTGGAAAACAAACTTTGAAATGTTTTTGTAGAAACTGTAGACCAAATTCACAAGGTCAAGGGTGGTTAGCTGATGGACTGTGATGACAATATGTAACGTCACAGCTACTTGGAAGTGCTGGGAGAGGCAGTGCCTTAGAAACGAGTGGTTAGATGGTTATTATTTTAGTCAGAAAACAGCAGTTACAGTTGAATATTTATGAATTTGTTTTTCCTTTTTTTCTCATAGTACCATTTGAAGACGTTTAGTGGTTCTAACACCAATTTAAAGTCTTTCCACAAAAATGAACTCCAAACCTTTTCGTACATCACTTGAAGTTATCTGAGGAGAAATGGGAATAAATTAACACTTTTGAGTTTACCAATAAAACCTTGTTTTTAAAATTATACAATAGTAAATGACTTCTAAATGATGGTTTCATCTCAAGTTTCCACACAAATAAAAAAATGTGTGATACTCAAACCACAACATTTAACCTACTCAGCACTCAAACTAAGTATACTGCTTTAAAACCTGAATCCAAAACTAACTTAGTACTAATTAAATATATTAAATGCCTTAATACAGGGAACAGGTACTGAAGGTAAACTTTTAAAAATATAGAGAGACTTGCAAAAACAAGTATAGGGAGTCTACTCCTCATTTTATATTGCATTTTAAAAATCTACATTTATTTCAAAACCTTCTAAAAAATTAAAATTTTTTTCTTTCTTCCCAATAGGGATTCTCCTTTTCTTACACGCACAACCACAAAAAGCCAAACCAAACCAAACCAAATCAAAACAAAAAAACCTCTGTTTAATAATATTAACTATGTTGAAATGATCACAAAAAGTCTATTTAAAACAAAAAAGGGAAAAGTTAAGATTTGGAACCTATATAATCACTTTTTCCACAGATCAAAACTAAAAACAGTAACTAACACATACTTCCAAAGAGAAGGAAAAAAAAAATCCAAACTTTTGTCTATCAAGTTTCCCCCGTTGACTGGAAGCACTAGGTTAAATGTAAATAATAAATGCTAATTGTTCTAAATCCAATTTGGGGATTTTTTTTTTTTTTTCTGAGTGCAGCACTTTATTTAGCCATCACAGATTAATTTTTACAATAATTACAGTGCCTCAAAAGACTTTTTTCCTATAATTATCGCCTTCGCAAATTCATTTTAATATATTTAACTTTTCCTACAATGTATTAATTAGTAGACTAGGTCACTAAATCAAATTAAACCTGTGCAAAGTTAGTTAAACAGAAGAGTTCTATTGTAAACATAAGCCAATATAAATGTATATATTTTACAACATTGAGAGGAAAGCACTGACCCTGTGCCATCTACCTACCACTATATTGCATTGTCCTGTGGAAGATAAGTTCTGAAGTTAACTTTTGTTCCCAAGCCACTGGAATAAAGGTCACTGAAGAGGTAAATGCAATATGCACATTACTCTTGCAGTTCCCATTGCCATAAGATATATGGAAGCAAACGTGTTAAAATGGAACCAGCTATAAATTATGGTCAAATGATTTTTTTTAGTTCGATGGGGGAAAAAAGCAAAACTCTGTAACAGTTCCTCACCAGACAAGAGCCTTAGATCTTGTACTTCGGCCTTTGGTTTTGTTTCCTTCAGGTGAATTGGAAGCATTTGCCTTATGAGTTTTCTTATGATGTTCAAGATAAGTCTTTTTGGCAAATGCCTTTCCACATTTATTGCATCTGTGAAGAGAAAAGTTTTTTGTGACTTTTACTTCAATACCAACGTCAGCTACTTCATACTTTTTACTAGGAGAGTTAGAAGTGCCATCAGGTTTTGAATCACTATGTTTTGCCTCATCCCTCGAAGGGCCTCTTTTTGCCACTTTATTTAGAACAAAATCAATGGGCTTCTTTATAGCTCTGATCTCTAAACTGGCGGTTATTTTCCCAAGGTAGCGGGATGACTTTTTATGAACCACAGTTATATGTCGTATCACATCACGCTTCCGACGAGTTTCATAAGTGCAAAGAGGACACTTGTAGAATTTAACATAAATGTTATTCCCATCTGTGTGCAACTCAATGTGTTTAGTCAAGTTCTGTTTGGAAGTAAACTGACGTTTACAAAGTTTACAGTAAAGTTGCTTAAAGTCAAAGCCAGCTGAAAGTTTTGGTTTCCTGGTTTTTTGCTGGCCACCTGCAGCAGACGGACTAGTTGATTTAGGGCTTTCAGAGTCTTGTTTAACTTTATTTTTCTGTGCTGCCGGTGTGTTCTTTTTTTCATTTGAATGATTTGTTCCCTTTAATTCATTCTGTGGAGAATGGGTGATGGAAGGGGGTGAAGGTTCTACAGAATCTGCTGGTTCAACTTTAACTTTTATTTCTGAACTGCTGGCAGTATTATTAGGGCCTTTCTCTCTTTTAGAGTTTGTTCCAGAAAGAGTTATCTTGTGGACAATTTGCATATGTCTTTTAAGCATTATTTGTGAACTATATTTCCTCTTGCAAAGGAGGCATTTGCATGCAGTTAAATTGTATTCAGCCTTTGAAGACGACTTTTGTTTTCGAGTCTTAAAAGATTTTTTAGGAGAAACAGAATCCAGGAACAAAGGTTGCCCAGGCTTTGTTGCTATATCAGGAGTAATTGAATCCCTTCTTAGTCCTCTATGAACT